TAAGAACGCTACTTTGGGAGAAAGAGAGGAGAATGCGACAGAAAGTATGAACTCTCGCGTGTGTGTATGTGTGTGTGGGGGGGAATCTTTAAAAATCGACATGTTTCTAAATCACTAGACAGTTGTTTTCATCTCTTAATACCTATTTCCCCATGTAGTTTCGCTTCACCATGAATGACCATTCATTGAAACCTTTTCACTTGCCAGACTTCATTTTATGACAGCATTCAGGAACGCAGACCATTAAATATAGCATAAGGCAGCCGACTTTCTCTTACATTTTTAAGGCGAAAAAAGGTTACAAATGAATCTTCCCCGTGCTGTTCTGCAGCTTTTTAAAAGGGGGAAAAATCAAAAGTCACGTCTATAAATTAGGAAGTGATATTAACTCTCAGCGTGTTCCCTTCAAATATTTCCAGCGATCGCTTCAAATTTCCCCCCTACGTTCTTTCTGAAAATGCGAGTTAATTAATTTCAGGAATGACCTAAGAAATGCCAACTGCTCTGAAGTGTGGAAGAGTGAAATACATATTAACACAAACTTCCGAAGATATTTCCAGCGTTCCAATTCTTGATTTTAGTGGCATGAACTAGTTAAAATATCTGGTGAGACTGTAATTTCGGTGTATTCTTTTTTTAAAGCAGACATTTTTCAGGAGGGAGAAACAAAACAGCCCTTTTCCATGTGCACTAGATGACCCCAACGAACGCAAAAGGTGGTATTTTCTTTTTCAAAAAATATCACAAATTGGAATATGGTTTTTTTCCAAATATATATAAATGAGAACAAGTTTTCCACCACGTCGTAGGTCATTACTGAAATGAAAAGATACATGCAAGGGGAGAAAACATTATCGACAAATTAAAAATCAAGATGAACACGGTAGAATTAGCATGTCGAATTTTACATGGGCAAATGTTATGTCTCATTAATCCCCCAAAAACAATCTAAAAAGAGAAATAAGCACTTGGGGATATAAGCGCCTTAATTATCAGCTAATAGTCAATGTGACCATTTTACAGGCATAGGATCTACGTAATTCCTACTTCTAAATTCCCCGTAGCTAAGCATTCTATACTTGGATATATATTTAATGACTGAGAATTCAAATCGCCTCTTCACGAAATTAATTTATGCGACTGAATTATTAGCTGCATTTTAACATACGCCTGTGTGTGATCCCCAAAAATACACTGAATAATGCAGACCATTTATCGAGCCGTATGAGGGCTGCACAATAAATGTTTACCTTCAAGATCCATGCAAAAAGCCCGCGCATTAAATCAGTAATGTGCAACTCTCTGATCCTCTTATAAATATCTTGACATTTACAGTCCAGGGAAAGTGCTGGTCTTTGTCTACGGTTTTTTTTCTCTCTTCCTTTTTTAGTGTGTGTGCTTGCGTTCAGTCTTCGGAATACATCTTTCTAGATTTGACTGTATTGTAGGATTCGAATTTTCATTGTATTTGTCCTGGAGGTGAGCTATTCTTAATTTTCTGATTCTGCTATCCCCCTCAAAAAATATTATGGCTTCATTCATTTTTCATAAACATGTTTTTGAAAAGGTGTACCTTTTGCTGCCTCGAATAAAAAAAAGACTTAAACAAAACAGTTTTCTCGAAAAGCATTTTATATATTTACTAGTGGATGTGGGGCTGTGTGTCTCAACAGATATAATTAACTGATTTTTTTTAAAAAACCTATTTATTGGAAGACTATTTTACCTAAGAATCAGAGCTTTGCTACCATCTGGACAGTTTATAGTGTTTGTCTTTCCGATACACGTTTTCAGTTAATTTACAAATAATAGGTGAGGGGATTTATACATATTTGTTTTGAGTTGTTTTTCCTACAACCTTTTAGAGGCCTGAAAAGTCAAGAGGGTTCGTTGTAATTTGATGGGCCAAACACTTCTAATATTGAACAACAGCGCCATCTCGCGTTTTCTTTACCCGAGATATCCAGAGAGAGACAGCGAGAGAGACAGAGAACTCTTTTGTCAAAAAGGAAAAGGAGCGGTTTCTTCAGCATCTACATCAGATTGCATCCAAAAGAAAGCCAAAGAAAACTGGATGATTTACTAAACTGTGAACTTACCAGAAGGCATTTTATAGCCAATAATTCCATGAATTTACCATCTAGCTTGTTATGACACCTTAGAACTACAATAAGCAAAGTGACTGTTTATTCATAAACGAGAGGCCAGTATTTTTGCACAGATTATTTCGGGGTCTTTCTTTTTCTGCTAAGAAAACCAATAAAACGCCCCAAAATTGTGTGTACACGCTCGACAAACAAACACAGGGTACCGTCTCTCCTTCAAAGTTCAGTGCTTTTATCAGTTTTAATTTAGGGGGCTGGGTCCCCCTCCCCCCCACCTCTGAGCCAAGGGGGCCTGTGGCTCGTAGTTTGTAGACAAAACATTCCAATAATCCGGTTTCAAAGAGAAGAGCACAAACCTTATTTAAACCATAAAACAATTAAACCCAGACGTCTAGCCAGTTCTGTGGTCCTGTTTTGTTCAGTTCTATTCAGTGCGCATAGCAGGGAGACAGAGTTGTAAAACGGGCTTTTTTTTTCTCTCCCTCTGCGGAAATGTACCTATGGACAGCTTTCAAAGCTGTAGTATCCTGTCTTTTTTGTGTGCGTTACAAAAGGGCCATTTTCGAAGCAGGAAAATATATACACAGAGATGCAAGCCATATGCCTAAGGAAGATCCTCCGTTTGAGCATTATTGTTACATTTACGTACAGCCATACTCACCGCAGGGTTTTGAAAATGTGCTTCTCTCTTTCTCTCGCTCTTTTTAAAACACGCCGTATCTTTTCTTTTTTCTCTCTGTCTCTCTCTTTTTTTTTCTTTTCGAAAGTCTAAGCCTCTCCAATTCCCCCAGCCCGCTGAGTTGTTAGTCACCCAACAGACAAATGACACTTAAAATTATGGGCCAGCATACAGACTTGTACATGAACTGTAACTGCAGCGGGGTTTAAAACAAAACAGCCCATCACCAACAAAAGAAAACCCTCCATGGAGACAAAAGGGGCCATATCCCTCCGTGCCCATAAGCGCCAATGGCATTTTTGCCGGAGTAAAGACTGCAGGACGGGGGAGGAGGGGGAGGGGAAGCGACCGAGGGGCTTTGGCACTGAGAGCGGGTTGAATGAGGGGTTCAGAACTGAGAAGCAGGGGTCCTTTCTTTTCAGCGTTAATTTTTTTTAAAGCGTTTCAGTTTCTAGCCACCTCCTGCGAGAGAGGGGCCCGAAGCTGATGTCCAAGTCCCATCCAAAGCGGGGAGTTGTCCAATAAAAGGGGTGAAACTTCCTTCCTGGAGAATCTGAACTGGCCAGAAATCTTAACGATGTGCGTTTTATTATTATTATTATGAATCGAGTTCGCGCGGACAGATTTAGGAGAGGAGGAGAAAGGGGCGGGGGATATCCATGAACGAGATGTGGGGGTCAGTTGTGTTGGTTGGCGATGGTTTATTTGGGGGTGAAAGGGGGGTACCATTTTTGGCCTTTTAACCCGCACCTTGCAGTGGCTCCAAACATAAAGAACAGGGGTTTGGGCGCCGAATAAACCAAGCTGTCCTCTTCCACGTTGCTCAAGATGAGGGGGAGCCATTAAAAAAAGCCATGATGCCATCAAAGGGTATGTCTACACTACCCCCATTAAAAAAAAGCCATGATGCCATCAAAGCGAGCGGACAAATCTAGAAAGGGAAGAAGACCAAACCAAAAAAAAAAAACCCCTGGAAACGCTAAGGAAGAAATAGTCAAGGGCGATATGTTCTGCACTCTGCGGGTAATGGGTTCCAGATTTTTTATTTCGGGGAAGGCTGAGAAGAGAAAGCGACAGACACCTCCCCAGCACCCCGCTCTGCTTTCGATTAGAAGCTGCTTTGCGCGTTTCATTAAGAAAGGCACCTAGAACGAGGCTTTTATGAACGCGCCTCCCCCGCGGATCGGGGTGGGTTTGTTGGGTTTTTTTGTGGGTTTTTTTTACACTTTCTCTCCCCCGCTTGGCCCTCCCCTTGTCCCTCCTTTAGCAGCCTCTGAGCGCCCACCCATGTCTCCCGCAAGCTAAAAATGTGCGGGGGCCGCTTGTCCACCTCTGCGTCACTTACACGGCCAAGAGCCACCCCAACGACACAATCTTGCTTCCCGTTTGAGACCGGTCGAATTGGACTCTACCTCCCACAGCAAACCAATCTAGACCGCTGGGCAGAAGAAAAAGGGAGTGGGGGGGGGAGAAAAAAATAATACTCTATTGCATTTAGACCGAACAAATTCTCTGCTGGCCCCCACCCCCGTTTTCTTTTTTCCTGACTTTTTCAAGAGTTCCTCCCAGCTCGATTCGATATGACTTTGCAACGTTTCAGTCCTCCGAGGTGCACGGAGCAGAGGAAGTCTTGGTACCTCAGAAGAGCAGCCTTCGAGGAGATGTGAGAGGAATGTTGCCGCCAGCTCCCTTTTCCAGCATACATATTTAATCTTTTACATATACTTCGATTGCCCGGGGCCATAAATTACTACAATTAATTATCCAAACCTAAAAATTTATGGCACGTATAACCCTTACCTAAACGCATTTTGTGATTGCCCTGCTACATACAAAATGTTGTGAGCGGAAGCACGTTTTTCCTTTCCACGCATCTTCGTTGGCTTCCTGTAAGAAGGTGGATCTCGGTTGCCTTCGATTTTTATCACTGGTGATTTTTATCAGCGATGTATTCACTGATGCAAGGAGGGGGGTTTCCTTTAAGAATCCGAACACAGTGTTGAATACCATGGGCAAACTAAACTCTGGCTGTTGTTTCTCCAATGGAGTTGAAATAAAAGACACCTGCGTGAAAAGAGGGTTTTTTTTTCCTTTTTTTTTAACGTTAAGTATATATTTACATAGAGCTGTGGTACTATAGGAAACATAACAATATTACAGAACAGATCTGAGACAGGAATAAAATACACAAATAAGTACACCGGACCAACACTATGACAGAACATTTTTTGAGCCTTCTTCCTTCTTTTCTTTTGTACAAAATATGCACTCACAAAGTCATGAAATTAAAAAAATAAAACACTGGATAAGTTTAACTTACGAAATAAAATACTAAAAAAAATTCAAGTACTTTTCTCTCTTTTTTTTTGTTTTGATTTGCGAAAAGGACCCAAAAATCATTTTATTTTAGTTGCATTTTAAAAAAGCATGGTGCTCCAAACGCCTGGCTGTGTTTAACTAATTCTAAACACCGATCAGCACATTCAAAGTCAGAAACATTTCGAACCAAAGAAAAAGAGCTTTTTTTTCCCTGTCACCCTCCCCTTCCCTCGTTTCTCTTGCATTGATTTGACTTTGCCAACTTTTATTGCTGTTCTTTATCGGTTTTCTCTTTATTCATTTTCTTCATTTTCATTCTCCTGTTCTGAAACCAGATTTTGACTTGGCGTTCAGTGAGATTAAGGACTCTGGCTACTTCGTACCTCCGGTCTCGTGTGAGGTACATATTGAATAAAAACTCTTTTTCCAGTTCCAGGGTCTGATACTTTGTATAAGGACATCTTTTCTTCCTCGTGGACCGTGCGTGAATCCAATTTGCGACGGGATTGCCTGTGGAAGAAGATTTAAAAAAAATAGTCAATTTCAACAGCTGACTCCCCCTCTCCTTACACCCAACTTATTTTTTTGTCGAGAACTAACTTGTTGAATTAGGAAATAGCAGGTAAATATTTTAAAGTAGCCTTCAGAAGGCATTAATGTGTTTATTTTGGGGGTGTCATTTCCTTTTCTTTGACTATTGCTCTCAGATAAAAGTTTCTGTAAATAAAACCTTAGCAATGGGTTTAAAATAATAATCATCATCCCCTAGCAGGAGTAATCTAAGAACATAGTCATAAAAAGTAAAAATTCCCACCATTTTATAGGCCTATAAACTCACTTTACAACCCCTGTTCTCCAATACCTTCCCCATAACCATACCAGTCCTGGAATGACTGGCTTATTTTTTTTAATATCTAGAGGATGTCACAGAATAAATCAATTGGCTCAAAAAATACACTCTTTAAACGTAACGGACCTTACCGTCTTCTGCCCCATCCCTACTTTGTTAAATGGAAAAAATACGCTAGTTTATCTCTGGAATCATCTCCTTCATCCAACTTTGGGCTTTTAAAAGAGCCTTCTACTAGCGAAGGAGAATGATTCCCCTGATCCTACTCTGTATTTTATCACAAACCTACTTTATTTAATCTTCTCTGGATACTTCTGCTAGGTATGCATGCACACAGAGACACATATGGGGATACACCGACACCCACTGACTCACAATTTATAATTTATAAATCACCATTTCATCAGATTGTTAGGCCAGGAGGCTTAATAAACACATGACATGCTTGTATGTATGTGTGTGTGAGAGAGAGAAAGAGTCTCTGTTTGTGTGTACATGCATACACACTCCCACAAACATAACCGGAGGTTTATTCTAGTTCCACCGGTTTTGGAATTACACTTTATTTTGCTCGGGGTGCCTCGCCTTTCCGAAGCTACTCTCTCCATTTCAGAGAGAGATGCTCATTCTGAGAGGAACATTTTCGAGTGGAAAAGGACGGCTGCATGTGTAATGGTGAAAGAGACGCCTGGCTAATCAAAACCCTTCCACATTACTCAAGTTTTAGGTGTTTTTTTTCTTCCCACTTGGACTAAAGCAGATAGACGCCCCCCGCCCCCCAAGTGTTCGGTCCAATATCTTACTTTTCGCCTTCATCTACCCCTTTAGATTCTTTATGGCTTTCCTAATCCAACTACTACCCTTTCCTAATCTA